GCCATGTCTTGAGGGCGCGGCGAAAAGATAGGAGGTCCGGAATCGTCCGGATCTCGGGGGGTAGTTCGTTCCAGAGGGTGGGGGCACCCACAGAGAAGGCCCTCCCCCTGGGGGTCGCCAGCCGACACTGCTTGGCCGACGGCACCCTGAGGAGGCCCGCTCTGTGGGAGCGTACCGGTCTGTGAGAGGGAATCTGTGGGTTATCTATTTCCCACCATATTAAATCATCTACTTAATAATACAATATCCCCTTTAATAAATCAAAATCATTATATATATTGTCTGGGTTAATCAATAAATCAAACATATTCATAATAATTTTTTTCCCTTTTGGGTCTAATTTTTAAATATTAAACAGATAAAATCCTTATTTTCAACTAATTTCCAAATATTCTAAATCTAATGACCAAAATTCCCCTTATCTCAACTTCTCCCTTTAACCCTCTAATTAATAATATGAAATCCCCTCTAATAAATCAAAATCTCAATTTTCTTCAGCCTTATTCTGGCTTTCTTCCTTTGCCATCTAGCCTTCCATATCAGTGCTTTTAGATCATCAAATAGATCTCCCTCTATCATTATATATGTTATTTGAAATAAGAGAGACCATTTAGTTGTCATTTTTTTGGAAGGGCTAGCAGCTAGCCCTATTGTATTCATTAAATTGTCTCCCTATTATTCCAATTCCCCATTATTGCCCTGATATGTTTATCTTCCATTCAATGTGTTCTTCTTCTTTCTCAAATTTCTTCTGATTTATATAGAAAGTCTTTTCTATTTTCAGTGTTGTCACTCCCTTTCCTGGATTTTCCATTAACTGTATTTGTTGGTCAACTAAGTCCTCTAATATTTGATTGTTCCACTTCTTCTGTTATCTTCTGCGTTGTTAATTCTTTGGTTGTAGTCAAAGTTTGGGTTTGTGTATCTAAGCTGGCATCTTGTTCTTTTATGTTAGGTCTTATTTTATCACAAGCTGAAAGAATGGTTTCATGTATTGCTTTCAACATGGAAAGGATCTTTTCCTGGTCTTCATCCATATTCTTTTTAATAATGTGTTAAGTTGAGGACTTTAAAATCAGACATTAAAAATAATTTTATAACTAGGTATGGGACCTCTCTTTCACGTGTTTATAGATAGTCTTTATAGTAGAAGTCGCTTGTCAAGCAAGCTTTTATAGTCCAAGGTATTTCATCATCTCATATAGTAACCAATGTTCCTCAAATAAAGAGATAGGAAGGCAATTCCCCACATATAACTCTGAAAGTCAGTAAAGGTTTACATTCATAGTTCAAGTAGGCCAGTTATGCTGCCCAGAAGTTCTCTTTACAGCTGAGTTTCTCACAGGTGATACCAAGATCAATAAAGTCTTATCTAAAGTCTGGGCTTCGAGCCAAGTCTTTTAGAAAATAACAAGTTGTAATACCAAACTTTGCCACAAGATGTTACCGATGCCGTTTAAAGTTTTTTAAGTCCAAAATTTTTTATAATACTTTTTCCAATTTTATTTCTTTTTTGTAAATAAAAACAAAAGTCTCCAATAAAAATAAGAAAACTTTTGGTCCCCAGGTTTCAGGAACATATAAATCCAATTAGATTAAAGTTGTTCTTTTAGTGCTTTAATTCCCCTGGGTAGTCAGTCATCGCTATTGTTAGAAGGTGGGATAGAAATTCTCTTCCCTCTCTCCTCACAGGGGGAAAGATACTTTGGGCAGCTTTTACAGGAAAAGTAAATACTTAGGATAAAGAGAAGATCGGATCTCACCCAGTTTCATCTGCGTTGATTTAGAAGTACTTGGTGGTGAGTTTGACTTTGGCTGTCGGCAGCTTAGTGACGAGCCATATTGCCATGGCTGATCTTTCCTCCGCCGGTATGGAGGGCTGCCCCAGATCGAGCAGAAGGGCTGCCGCCCTCCCGTGATCAAGCGGGGGTCCCCTCCTTGCTCGTCGCCCCTAAAGAGCGACTTTCAACTCTTTCCAGGGTCCCCCAGCGGAACAAAACCAAACACGGAAGGCGGAGCTTGCCTTCCAGTGTCCGCAGCGTCCGCGATGGCAAACTGGAAGTCCGGCTGCCAATCTTTCTGATGGGCGTGTGGATGAATTTCGTCTTCTTCAGAGCACAATGGAGGGATGTTACTATGGAAATGCGGAATTTCTAATGCAAAAAAAGGGCTGCGGAAACAACTTTGCCTCAAAACTATAATTCTATATTACTAAGTGTAACAAGAGAGATTCATATTATTTTTTAAAAAAAATATATAGCCATAATTATACATGCTCAGAAATGAAATCTTCATTATATCTTAATTTATTTCTATCCTGCCTTAATTATTTTTATAAATAACTCAAGGCGGCAAACAAAAATTCTTCCGCCTCCTATTTTCCTCACAACAATCCTGTGAGGTGGGTTGGGGGCTGAGAGAGAGTAACTGATTCAAAATATCTTACATTGTCTGTGACTTGAAACTAGTTGTAGGTCGGGACTCTCACACAACAAAGTGGTGTCACATTCCCTTGTCTTCTCAAACTAATTTGTCCTCTCATACTGACAAGCGAAAAAGAGACATAATCCAAGGCCTGAGACTTGAACTTAAGATCAAGGGCAATCCTTAATTAGTCCTAATAATCTTTCTGCAGCTACAGCAGTCCCACTTCAAAAAGGTAGCTCATTTGTAATAAGTTTCTGATTCCATGAAAAATAGAGGGTTTTTTTTTTCCCCATTAAAAACAAATCAATCAGCCCATTACCTTTATGTTGTCTTCAGGCCAGGAATTCAGCATTGTGGCAATGTGTCCTTTGTCGTGAATGGTAATGAATAGCCCGCTGGGGAAAAAGAAAAAGGATAAATTACAAAAAAGAAAAACTAATCTGAGCATGACAAAGAAGTAGAGAAGGCTGGGCACGAAGTGGAATGGCATAAAAAAAGGGAAAAAAAGAGGACCGTTAGCAGATTTCTTAAAACTCACTTAAATTTGTTTAAATGAGCATCCCAGGCAAAGAGGAAGCACAGGATTTTAACGCACTTGTGAATCTGTCCTTAGAGTGGAAAGGAAAGCATGCAGAACTAATCCATGCAAAAGAGAAGCACGGTTCTTAAGTGACCTTGACTTTGCTTGTTCAGAAGGCTGCAAAAGCTGATCACGTGACTCTGAGAGACTGGAAACCGTCATACATACGAGTCAGTTGCCAGCTGTCTGAATTTTGATCACGTGACCGTGGGGTTGCTGCAACAGTCGTAAGTGTGAAAAAACGGTCATCGGTCACTTTTTTCAGAGCCATTGTAACTTCGAACGGTCGCTAGATGAACTGTTGTAAGTCAAGGACTACAACCTTTAGTCTGTTTATGTCCTAATGGGGAGAAGTAAATTCTTTCTGCCACCTATATCTGAGCTATCAAGATCCATGCTACCTGACGGCAAGCCGTTCCACTGGTTAATTCTCCTCACTGTTAGGAAGTTTCTCCTTAATTCCAGGTTGTTTCTCTCCTTGATTAGTTTCCATCCATTGTTTCTTGTCCTGCCTTCACGTGCTTTGGAGAATAGGTTGCCCCCCCCCCTCTTCTTTGTGGCAGCACTTCAAATATTGGAATCCTGCTATCATGTCACCCCAGTATCTGAGGGGCTGCCACAAGGCAGAGGGGGTCAGGTTGTTCACCAGAGAACCAGAGGGAAGGATGAGAAACAATGGTTGGAAACTGATCAAAGAGAGAAGCAACCTGGAATTAAGGAGAAACTTCCTGACAGTGAGGACAATCCACCAGTGGAACGGCTTGCCACCAGAAATTGTGGGCGCTCCACCACTGGAGATTTTCAAAAAGAGACTAGACAATCACCTGTCTGAGACGGTATAGGTTCTCCTGCTGGAGCAGGGGGCTGGACTAGTTGACCTCCAAGATCCCTTCCAGCTCTATTCTATTCTAGTCCTTCTTTTCTGTAGACTAGACTTTCCCCTGGTGCTTTTTACATGTGTTGGGACGACTGGTTGGAAAGTTTTGATATTTCAATCCCAAGCAGCTGATACTAGCCATGATAATGTTAGGTGCATCATGGTTCATGTGGGCTTATTTTACCCGTACCTGGTTTCAATCATAGCACATCTGGGGAATGTCAGGTCATTCTGTGAGTCAGGATTAGATTGAACGAATATATTAAATAAAATTCAATTTAATGAATATACCGTTTAATTTCCAGAAATAACTCCAGCATATGATGCATAAGTCTCTTGAGATCCTTTTTTAAGGAACCTCCCAGCCATCTGCTATGTTTGCAGATCCTATTTCTGTTATTGCTGTGGCAACTGTGTTAGGCTTTGAAATTTAGAAATCAAACATTTAAAATTAGTTCTTTGGGGAAAACGTTAAACTAACAAACACATCATTTTACAAAAGAGCCTGGGCAATCAAACTTCATTTGAGCCAGCAAGGGATTTCTCTGAGCAGGAAAAATAATTAACCAATCAATGGTTGAAATTACCACGAGTGACTGATCTCTGACTTTTATAGATTTGTTTATTGCAAAGACTCGGCTGTTACAGAGGTTCTAAACAATAGAATTAACCAAGTTGTTTGTTTCTTTCTTGAAGTGCTTTTCAGTTTATGCTCAGTAAGTAATTCATGTTTTCTGAGCTCCGAAGCTAAACATGGTTGGACCGTTTGATATTTGGAGGGCAATTACTAGCAAATACTAGGATTAGGCTAGGCTGGGAAGCTAAAATATATTATTATTATGGAGCATTGCACAGTCAGCCAGATGTTCAGACTGGATTTGGCATTTTGTCTACCTATTGAGTCCTTCCCAAGGACCTGGGATAGGCAGATGTGGATGTTTGATGGTATTACAGATATCGTCGCAGGATGGAAGCAGTTTCTAGTAAGGCCGCCTTTTGCAATTGACTAATAGCGAATTTGTCAATGCCAATGGTGTTCAAGTGGTGCTCCAGTTGTTTTGGGATTGCCCCCAAGGGGCCTATTACTATTGGTACTACCCTTGCTTGCTTTTGCCACAGACTTTCTATTTCTATTTGTAGGTCTCTGTATTTTGTTATCTTCTCCAGTTATTATTATTATTATTATTATTATTATTAGTAGTAGTAGTAGTAGTAATAGTAGTAGTAATAATAATAATAATAAAGTTGGAAGGGATCTTGGAGGTCATCTAGTCCAACCCCCTGCTCAGGCAGGAAACCTATACATATGTTGTATATAGTACAGTGATGGCGAACCTTTTAGAGACCGAGTGCCCAAACTGCAACCCAAAACCCACTTATTTATCGCCGGGTGCCAGGTGGGCGTGGCCCAGTGGGTGGGCGTGGCTGTGGTGGTCATGGCAGACTGGATGGATGGGTGTGGCCAAGGTGGGTGTGGTCACCTTGATGTTGTTTGTGGAGAGGGACGCCTGTGAGATCCAGGGGGTCTCTGGCAGGTGGGGAGGTGGGCAGGAGGCTCGTCCTGCAGGGTGAGGCAAGGCAAGGCGAGGCAGGGCGGGTGTGCCATTGTTGCAGGGCAAGGCGAGGCAAGGGCCGGGGTGGCAGCTGCCTGACACCATCGGCCCCTGCACACAGAGGCCAGCGAGCACATGGGGGGCGACGTGTTCGTCAGCAGTCACAGCCTTCCGGCCCCTCGGCTAGCACACTCTGGGGCTCCGCAGCCCACCGCCAGCAGTTCAGAGAAGCCACCTCTGAGCTGGACGGATGGCCAACAGCTGAGGAGGCAATGGAGTGGGTCATGCTTGGATTCAGAGAGAGGAACAGCCAGTCGGCTGTTTTAAAAGCCATAAAAGTGACTGCGCATGCGTGAGAATGGCGGTTTTCGGTGAATAGCTCCGAAAACGCGGAGCCCGAAATGGCTAAAGGGGGAGCTTGGAAAGCTCCTTGAAAACTCCTTGAAAGGTCCGGAGACTCCCCCCTCCCGGTAAGCCCCCCAGGACTAGATACGGGATGTATGGGGGCGCGGGGGACGTAGACCGACCGGTTACCGTTTTTCGGCCTCTTCGGCTTCCCCGGCCTCCCGTCCTCGGCGGTCTCGTTGGTGGCTTGTAGGTGGCTTTTCCGGCGGCTCTTGGGGTGGATAGCTCGGCCCGAATCGCTCGGCCCGGATCGTCTGACTGCGGAGGTGCTCGTGGGGGAGGCAGCGGCCTGGGCGGCTCGTATGGCTCCTCCTTATGGGAGATGGCACGGATGGCTCCTGGGCAGCCCGGATGACCTTTCCTCGTGGCGGCCTGGGCGGCTTCCTCTGGGATGGCGGCCTGAGCGGCTTCCCCTGGGCGCCTGCTTTGTTCGTGGGGGTTTTTCTGGCTGCCCCCCTCGGCCCCCTTCCGGATTCGGAGATGTCCTGGACGACCTGGAGGGCCTCCCCGACGATCTGGAGGCCCGCGTGGACTCGGTGGCCTTCTTGGTGGCTGCGGCGGCCCCTACAGACGCCCCCCCCCGACGATGGTTTTCAGCCTCCTCGGCGGCCTGGGACCTTCGGAGGGTTCTCCGGGCAGCCTCGACGGCCCCCGGGTGGTGGCAGCCCTGGTGGTCGCGATGGCTGAGCGGTTTGTTTTGAACTATCCGAGGGCCTTTTTGGCCGTTTTGATTTCAACTGGAGGCCTTTCAGAGCCTCCCCAGCAGCCTGACGATCTCTATGGCCTTTCCAGCGGCCTTTCCAGCGGCCTTGGCCGGGCAAGGGCCTGGGTTTGGGCCTGGACTTGGACTTGGCCCGCCCCGGCCTAGAGGATATCTCGCGGCCTGTTTGCGTCTCCGTTTGGACTTGGTTTTGAAAGACCCAAGGGGACTGAACATCACTCCTCCCCCCATGCCACGGACTCCCCTGTTCGGACCATGTACATTTACACGAAGACGGACCTGTTGGCCCTGCGCGATTCACCCCTCGCGCAGGCCTGGCCCAGGAACATCTCGGGGGCCCACCTCGAGGATGGGGTGTGGAACCCCGAGAGGTGGCATGCAGCAGTCAAGGGGAAAAAATTACCCAAATTAATTAAGTTAAGAATGTTTTTACAGGGGTGTTTTAATAAATTTTTAGGGGGACCCAGGGAGGAGGGGAGGGGGGAGGTTCCCCTTAGGTCAGGACCAGCCATGTCTGGGGGTTGCGAGGGAGAAAGGGTGGGGGGAGAGGGTGGGGGATTGAAGGAGGTGGGAGGAATTAGTACGGTCAGTG